CTCTCTCTCTCTCTCTCTCTCTCTCTCTCTCTCTCTCTCTCTCTCTCCACATATTTTTAAGAAGTAGGAAATCTTACATCTTTGTATTCCTAAACACCAGCTAATGAATTCTACTCATATTTCCCAGATTTCTATTACAGGCAAGAAAATCATCTGCAGAGGTGTCAACAACTTATAAGCTTAGAAATGGAGATTTCTCCCAGCCTTATAATTTCTTTTTTTTTCTTTTCTTTTCTTTCTTTCTTTTTTTTTTTTTTTTGATGCAGGGGATTGAACCTCTGCTTTATTGCTGAGTTACACTTCCAAGCTCCAGTCTCATACTTTTAATAGGTACCGTTCATGTGAGTCAACACTAGTCACTAGGATATCTAAGTCTAAAGCCTTTGATTATTCGTAAAAACCATAATATTAAAGAAAAGACTTCAAGACTTCAGTTGTTCCATCCCTTTCTTCAAGTATAACAGAAAAAAGATATTGAAGCCAATGTATCCTGGCACCACCTAGTGGCAATGTGTATGAACTAAAGCAATTCTTTATACCTTTTATGAGTTTATTTGGTAGAAATTACAACAAAATGATTGTTGATTCATTAAAGATGAAAAACATTGAGTTGGTAACTAATGTGTTTTATAACCATATATAAAAAGACATGTCTTTACAAACAAAGTCTTCAGGTCCTTGTCCTTTATGCTATTTCACTATGGCCCATATGCATCATCTTTGGGAAGGAGCTTTAATAGATTGTCCTTCTGTCCAGTCATAACGCTTGATAAAGCAAAGTTGCTAATTACTTTCCAGACTCTATCACTATATCTTAGAATACACGGAGCTCTAGTTCATATACAGCTTATGAAGAGTTGTTGAGCCCTGCTGTAAGAGACCTATTAGTAGTGAATGTTAATGAGCGTTGAAAGGCTGAAGTCATATGTAAATCCCATTGGCTAATACTGAAAGGACACTGTGGATAAAATCTAATAAACAGTTCACAAGACTCCCTCCCCCAATACAAGCTCTGCCTTCTCTACATAGAAATTATTTCACTGATGCTTTCTGTATAAAATGATATTGGCCTCATTGATCTGAGATTATCCTTAAATAAGTATGATAGGCAGTTAGCTAAAGAGACAAGAGTATAGTTTCTTTTTGGATTGCAATGTTTACTCAAATGAAGTTCTAAACATATAAGCATAGTATATTTATTTTTCTGCTGTTGCACATTTTATATGACTAATCGACTACAATTTTAGTCTCTTCAGGCTAAAGCCTGCTTTAAATCTACCTGTGTGTGAGATGATGGATATGTCAACTTATTTATATTAGTCATCTTAAATTGTGTAGGCATATGAAAACATCTGTATATTTTCTATTTGTTAATTATAACTCAACAAAGAGAACGAGAGCACAACAGTGAAAGAAAGGAAGAAAGAAGATTGACTTTCAATTTTTCTAAAGTGTAGGTCAATGTAGGTAAAAAAAAAATGGGTAAGGTAAAGTTTTGAATCAGAAGTAGATCAAGGAGACAGAAAAATGAATTACCTGAGGACGTTTCCACACAACCTTTCCCGGAAGCAGTCGGTTGAAAAACAGAGAATCATTCTCTGGTAGGAAGGTGGGGTCACAGAAAAGCCGACCATCTTTGACGCATTCCTGCTTCAGTTCTTGGTACTTCTGGTTTTTGAAGAGCTTCATAGGAGGACCCATGTTATCCAATTATGTCTAGAATGACAAAAATTATTACTTGGTGGAACTTCTTAGGTCTTTCAAGGATTCCCTGGAATTCCACAAATGTCAGTCGTTGCAGTGGCTTCCTCCCAGAGCCTTTGGACTGAGGCAAAGACACTATGTTTAAGAAGAGTCAAAGTTCAGCTAAATATTGGGCCCTGGGTAAACACTTAACCATTTGAGGACCTTGGGTTTTTTATCTGCCAAACGGAACAACATGTACTTTAGCAGTCTCATGGGAAAATAAATAAGAAATGTAAAGATTGTCAGCTAAGGTAATTTTCCATTTATACTGACATGGAAGAGCTCAGAAAAGTTCAGTTAAAATTTGACGATAAAGGAGAAAGAGTTACTTTACCTTGTTTGGAATGAGTCAGTGTCCGGGAAAGCTGCACCCTGGATGCATGGGGGTGGGGGGAATAGCCTCTTTCAATTCTAACAAGTCCTTTTACACAACCACTCTCGTTTTATCATTTAAAGAGCTCGTCTATTTTGCTATTGGCCAAGGAGGCTAATGTGAGAAACAGAGCTCAGCAGATGGCCTCCAAACACACATAAAAAGATATAAAGATTATGTGGTCTTTTTTTCCCCTTCAAAGTGTAAAATCATTTGCAGATTCTAAAATCAAAAGGCAGACTTGAAATTCAATTACACTAATTTGATGGACTATAGGTTTTTACCCCATAGCAATAAAATACACTATTTCTTCCTTTTCTTTGAAAAAAAAAAACATTAAAAGGAAACGCCACCTAAACAAAATTAATATAGTGGGGTTTTTTTATACAAAATCTGGAAGACTGCACTTAAATATCCTTAATAATTGGTTTGTATGAAGATAATTCAAAAGGAAAATTTGATTTTAAATAGCTTTGTAGTGATAATAGATCTTTCTATGTCATAGTAAATGAAAAGATGTTGTGAAATTTTTATGGTGTCAACTACATTAAACCTTTATTCCCATGATTTTATGAACCCAGTACAATTAAAACAAAAAAACCCTATGGTTCAGAGTTCTAAAAAAGAATGAATGAAATTTTCAAGAAGAAAGAACAAAAAGCAAAGCCCTAAATTGGCTGTATTAGTTCGCTGGAGTTCCACATGTGTGCTGCCACAGTCTCCGTGCTTTTACATCATCACATGGCTCCCTAAGTAAGCCCTCTCCCAGACACTCGTGTGGCATTTATTCTTTTATAAAAGCAGTAATATCAATAATACCTGTCTGCTTGGTCTTTGCATGCCCTTTATTTTTGCCATGCACTGTGTCATGATAAAATAGTTTCCCCGATTAAAAACCATAAATATTTGACTCTAATTTCTCAATGTTATTTTATGGCACAGTTATCTGTAAGAAACTCGTTCTTTCTCTTAATCCAAATATTAAGATATTGAACATAGCCACAATGTTTTCCAGAGCCTTATTTATTATCAATTGTTTTTCAAATTAAGGGTTGTGGAAACACTACAAAACACCGTGTGCTTTCCATTAACCAGCTTTAAGTCTGTTCCCTTGTAGATATTAATGTGTTTCATTGTATTTGGAAGCATTGGTGGCATCAGTAATAATTCTCAGTTAAACATCAGAGCCAACCTGAGTGTTTGCCCAGGCTCCTTTTCAGAGTCTGTTACAAAAGGACTCTAATTTTCATGTGTGTTCAAAGTTACAGCAAATAACCCTGAGCTTCTTGCTTTCCCTAGAAGATTTGGTGGATTGCCAGAGACTGGGGCTGTAAATATGGGACAGTCTGAGGCAATTAGGACATGTAGTTTGCCAGAGCCTCCTACTGCCTGAACGTTCTGGATAAATGGGTATTTCCTGCCCATGTGCTCTCACAAAGTCTCCTTTGCTAATCAGTCAAATAGTAAGACTCACAAAAGCTTGCAACAGGAATTTATTACAAAGAGAGCCTGTCTAAACACAGAAGCGGCATCAATTCAACAAAATTAGGTTTGATTTAAAGACAAAAAAAAATTTAGGGCTGGCAAGATGGCTCATTGGGGAAGGGCACTTGCTAGCAAGACTGATGACCTGAGTTCAATCCCCCAAGAACTACATAGTATAAAGAAAGAACTGGCACTCACAAGCTGTTTACACACACACACACACACACACACACACACACACACACACACACACCCCTAAACTGAAACCAAAGAAATAATAAACCACACTATGATCCAAATAGGTTATTTCAGAGACAAAGTGTATAACTGGTATCGATGGGTCAAATCTTAGTAGAGTAAATGCCTTTGCATGAGGATGCTTGCATTTTAGTGACTCATGGAGAAACATGTATTTGAACTTTCATTGGGGGTACAATTTTGCTATAAATCCTGCCAGATTTACACAGTAGAATTGACCCCCATTGCTGACTAAATAATAAGGCAACTGTTTTCCATTTGCTCTATGACCTTGATCTCTTTGCATATCAGGATTTTTATCATGAGACCAGAGATGTATATTCTTCTCCCTTAAGCTATAGATGTAACTACTGAGACGGTTAGTGTTAACCAATTTTACATAAGTAGAAAATACCCTGTGGTTGCAAAATAGGCATTAAAACTCTTATTCCTAGGCACCTCGTTCAATATCTCAGCATTGTACAGACATTTGTCAAGTAGATAACTGTCTTAAGTAGAAAATCAATGTTTATGTGATAAATTATTTGAAATGTGCATTGTTCAATTTATCTAGCATGCTCTTCCTTTGCAGTGGCCATGATTTGTAAGACACAGCCTGTGCCCTTCATTTTGTTTTCTCAAAAATGGCAACTCAGAGAAACAACAGTTAGAAACTAGCAAGATCGATTCAAACCCCAGTCTGTGAAATACCAGGACTGGTGTGTGGTTTTCCATTATACCATACTTCATCTTTTTGTCACTGTATTTTTTAGAGAAAGGATTTTGTAGTTCAAATGAGAAAAATCCTCCAAAGCAAACATGATGCCCAACTTTGAGGAATTCTGCCTAGAATTTATTGCCATGGTAGGTATTGAAAAGGTTCTTTATTTCCATGGTTTAATGATCATGTGAGAATCCAAACCCTTTCTATCCAAAGGCTCATTAGCTAGCTCTCAGAAAATGGGAAACCCAGCAATGTATAGACTGGCATAATTATGCACAATTTTCCTCTGTCCACGCAGAGACTGAAATGCTTCTTTCTTACTCTTCCACTGCACCAGGTGGCGGTATGGAGGAGACGGTCATTAAATTAAAGATCACACATTAGGAAAGGTGATAGACAAAGATTAAAGCTGGAGATTTTTAATGAAACCCCCAAATCTTTAGGTAACCTCTGGAATATGAACAATTCTGAAGGGCGACTTGAGGCCCGAGAGCAAGTGGTAACTCTGCCTAGGCAGAACAAACTGCAGGCTTATCATTGAGGCAATCGCCATAGGCAGAATTATTAGAATTCAGATCCACTGTCGAAAGAAAGAATGTGAGGGACACTGTCTACCACGACAATGGATAGGGGTAGGCTCAGCACATGGGAAGCTGGAAATGGCCAGGGGAAGATGGAGGAAGTCTGCCACGTGGAACTCAAGGCTGCAGCTAGGAGAAAGGGCCTTGGCAGCTCGTCGGACTTGAAGCTTTCAGGAGCCAGGCAGATTCTTAGTGGAAAATCATTTGCATTTTTAACTGTGGGTCAGCCTTAGAACAGACACCAAATTAATTTGGAAACAACATTGATAGAAAGATTTGTGGTCACAAATTTCTTTGGATTCAAGTGAGTAGGTGAGGTAGGCAGTAGAGTTAGCCGGCATAGGGCAAGAAAGTATGGCTCTGATCATCTGCCTCGGCTACCTTCTTTCCTTTATTCTGCAAAAATTAGAGGTAAAACAAAAAGTGGGGTGGGGAGCAGGCAATTTAGTACAGGAGACCTAACTCTGCCCACTCTATGCATAATATTATCCCCACTACTGGGGGGTGATGAGGGACGTTTGTTGTGTTTTGATGGGAAGAATAAAATTCAGTATCTACGTGCTACACAGAAACCACTGCTTTCCATCTTTGCAGAAGTAGAATCGTGTCTTGCATCTGTGGTCACATATCTGCCAGGGAACTTAGATGTGGCTGTTGAGATTCGAGGTTTTGGCTAGACATTCTGGGATCTAAAAGGAGCCAAATGCTCTCCTGATCAACTCTACTGTATTCCACAGGTCAGATTTACTCTGTCTGGAGAGAAGACTGTGTTCAAGGAAAGAAAATCAAAATCATACCAAGATCATGCATAATCAGGAGATTCACAATCAAGCCCCACCTCCAATGCCCTCACTTACTTTAGATAGTATGTTTCACCCTCAGTTTCCCCATAGACACAACCGGAATATGATGGTTGCCCTGCGCATCTCAGGGCATTATTTGAAAGAGCTAATGAAATAAAGTACATGAGTGTACTTTTTGATTGTTAAAAATACGTTAACATATAGCAGTTGTATTAGGGAATGTTTAATTTTAGCAAATTAAATCTCATTTCTTAGAAACAGGAAATATGATCACATGCTTAAAATAAAACACACATTGACATTTAGAAGACCTATATAAAATGGCCCCTCTGTCATTCTTTCCTCCCTATTCCATCTCCCATTTTTGGCTGACTTGCTCTCTTGGCTGACTAAGCTTATCCTAAAAGTCTAATTTTACAGTCCTTCGAGAATGTAATTCTGATTTTTATAGAATGTTTTTCTGGAAGGACTTTTAGAAGCCAGTTAGTACAACGGCTTTCTTTCACTGTAAAGTGGAGCGGCTTTACCAGGGTTGCATAGTACCAGAGTTGCCACTAAAACTGGAACCTACTGACTCTTTCACCAAGATTCTATTTTGAAACAAGAAAGAAGAACTGTGGTAGTAAGACACAAAACTGGAAGCAAGACATTTCTTTTGAGCATTTTCATTGTCTTCTTTTTGCAAGAATTCACGTAGGAGTCTTGTTTTTGAACTGCAAGCTGTCAGAAGGCAAATATGATTTCAAATCAAGGCTAATCAAAGTAACTGGGGGTCACAAAGGGGCTGTTTTCTGCTTTTAATTTAGGAACTGAAAACTTGCGAGGCTACATAGAAAGTCTGTTTTTTAACCTATTCCTGACTATGTAAATATTTAAGCTGTCCTCTGGACCACTGGAAGCACTAATGATGAATAAAGAATTCTGTTCAAACTCGTGCACATGAGTGCATATGCGTACATATGAGTGTATGTGCTTGCATTCATGCATGCAAGAATGTGTACACACACACACACACACACACACACACACACAAACACATGAACACACAAATGAAAAACACCCAGGGAACGAGAGAGTTAATTAGCAACCCCCACCCCAATTTTGTTTCTTCATTCAGACCATAAAGAGCCTGTAATTTCACAACAAAGATTAATAAATGAAGCATTTGCTAAAGTTTAATAAAACATTAATAGAAACCAGGACACATTTTGCTGTGGCAGGCAGAACAGTAGAATTGTCTGAATTTTCCGACGTGCTTTTCACCAAACTTCTAGTTTGAAATCCTCACACCCACTTGTTTCCATTGCAATGTGTGGCAGCTCCCTTTCCCTGACCATGACTGAAGGCAGCCCAGTTAAGCCCCAGCAAGAGTGGAGCAGGGTCGGGTGGGGGATGGAACCTTGACTGCAATTCAAAATTTAAACCAAAGATAGAATCAGAGGGAAACTAAACTAGGCCCAGGGGCTGATAATAGAATAACCAAGATCAACCTGTCACCAGAGCAGGAAGGTCTCTCGACTGTGCAGACAAGGAGTTAAGATAGCCCCGGCTGCCGCTCTCCATTGTGCAGCAGCCCATGGCCCGTGCACCCCACTTCAAGGGATTAAAGGCTGTGGGCACACAGTGTGCCTCCAAGATTGTGCCTGAATTTCAATGCTTCACCTATAACTCTGGGTCAGCAGAAACTGCCAGCCATCCAACTTCTCCCAATCTTCCCCCAGATTTGTCCTTGTTTACCAAGTATTTATGAGCAGCACATAACATAGAAAATTGCTTGGCTGCCCCACCAACATCACTGCATCCAGCTCCCTAAAATTCCCCTTTTTTGAAGTTTCAAAACTGCTACTATTATACATATGCACATGTGTACACAAGTTCGATCCAGACAAGCCACCATATTCAAAGACGCAAAGTTTGAATAACTACAAATCTGAAGTTTCTTTGAGTCTCTTATATGCTACATCTCAGAAAATAAATTTTTAAACTAAATCTGTAGACACCCGCTCTACTCACCTGAGTTCTCTCAGAAGCCCTGGTGCTGTGGCTGCTGCTGAGGCTGCTGCTGCTGCTGCTGCTGCTGCTGCTGCTGCTGCTGCTGCTGCTCTTAGCCAGGTAACCCCACTAAGTCTGCTCAGCCAGTGCAGCTGAACAAAGATTCTGGCTTTCTTAACCTGAAAACTATTTGGGCTGTACCAAGCTCTGCTCACAGGGGGAGGTGCCTCACAGCAACTTCAGGAGCTTTTGCCCCGCCCAGCACTCAGAAACTGATCCTGAGTCACAAGGAAAATCTGGAAGGCGTCCCTGCCAGATGTGCAGATGGGATGCCCACTCCAGATCCACCCACCAGCAACTTGGAAAACCCAGAAAGCCACATTTGAAAAGCCTTTCTGTTTCAAGGAGAAATTGGACTTTCAGGAAATGGGTCTGATATGTTTCTAACTCCTCTATCCCAGGGGGAGAAAACTGCAGACATGGACATTACTCGAGAGAGGACTTGGAGAATAAAAATGTTCAAATGTTGGCAAAGTTATAGTGAGCTAGGGTGCAGACGTGCTCCTAATAGGCACTTCTATGATTGCAGTGAGGACTTAGGCACCAAATGGAAATGAAAGGGCACCTAATAGGATGCAGGGACATAATGGTCACTTTGTGAAACAGCAAGTAACATTTGGCCAAGAGCAGAGAGAAGGGAGGTGAACAGAGTTTGATTCCATGGCAGCTGCTAGAAGTCCGATTTCTAGCAACAGTACAGTGTCGAGATGCTGCCAAGCAGTGCTGGGCAAAAAGCAAAGCAAATAACTGTGTGCTGTGAAAGGCCAACCAAGAAGTGTTAGCGGCATGCTCAGTCCCCTGTAAAATAGCTATCTTGACTCCCACTTGAGGCCCTGATCCCCCTTTCCAGAGATTTTTATTGTGACACAGTTTAAAGGATATGATGCTTATGATTTTTGTTCTCGGTTTCATGTTCACAAAATTTAAACGCTACCATCATTTCATTCAACAGGTTGCATGCCCAGTGTGCTGTTTACCATTGTACCAAAAATTAATACCCTTTCTCTCTCTACCCCTTTGCCAATCCTCATTCTGGTTAGTTGAAGATCTAAGAAATAAAGAGAGAGGGTTTGAGGGAAGGAGAGGGTGGAGCAAAAAAGAGAGGCAGAGGAAGTATGCTTTCGCTGCTCACTAGCTCCAAACCAATATTTTTTCATGAAACAAATCTGAACATTTCTATAACTAAATCTCTGAAACTTATCCTTTGACATTTTCCTCTGTGTCTTTTTATGCAAGATTAAAATCAATATAGAGGGAGCAATACAAAATACCAGAGCCCAGGAGAATTAGGCATTTAAATATTGTCACCCAATTTGGCTCAAGAGTGAGTTATTTCTTAAACAACTCTGACGTATGTAGGATTTTGGCATTGAACTGAAAAGAGGATATTTGGTCTGGGCTTATCTTCAGCCATCAATTCAATGTCCATAATTTTCAAGTAACTAGGAAATCATAAAATCTGAACATTAGCATGAAAAGATATCCATCCTCTTCCTCAGTGCAGAAATAGCTACAGATAATCTGGAAAACTCAGCCCTATGTAAAGCTGTTTATTCTATATATGGCCATTTCCTAATTGTTAAATCATTGTCCTTAGATTAAGCAAACTTTGACACCATGCAAAGTATTTCTAATTCCTCTTTTACCCAGCAGCCATTTAGAAGCTCTAGTAATCTATCCCTGCTCAGAGAGGCATCCTTAATTCTTCTATACCATGCGTCAGAAGTTATGGTCTCCAGGTCTTTTTCTGTGCTTGCTGTCTTTTAGGCATAAAACTGATCTGTGTGGAGTTTGTATCTTAACTAAAACCCTCTGAAATTTCTTGCATGAACTCTTATTGTGTGCTTCATTGTGTATTTGTACAACTGACTATATATTTAACTTTCAGGGTAAGCTAGTCCATCTCCTTATGTATTTCAATCTATACCTTTTCTTAAACTTTTCTTTCATTTAATTATACCATTAAATGAGTATTTGAGGAAGTTGGTACCATATTCCCTGGGCATTTATGACCAGAGGTGTACTCTACAGATATGTGTGCACTTATGTATCTCTGTATTCTATACATATAAAAGAGAATACATTTTTTACACTAGCAAGTTTCTATTAGCACATCTAATGAACACATCGAATGAGATAATGTATAGGGTAAACTAAGTGTCACCTTAGAGTCCCCTCATCATCAGCAATCACTTTTAACAAGCTTGTTCAAACTTGAAACAATCCACACAAGCTTTGCTATCATCCAGGCTCCCATTTTCCATCTTTATAACTATGTAAAACACCTTCCAAATAATCCTGCTGAAATGCAGATACCCTAAGACATGGTGTTCCTATCATCTTCCCATTGCAGATACCCTTTCAGAAGGGAAATGGGCTTAATTAGGCATGATTTTCTTTTGTGAGCTCATGCTTACCTCTAGTTATTTCTTCTTTCTCTACACCTCACAAAAGACCTGCTTAATAGTGCTTTCCATACCTTTGCCAAGAACCAATGCCATGCTCACTCTTCTCGTGTTTCCAAGATTTATATTCACCCCACCATAAAAACTAAACTATGTGCTTCTTTCCTCCTCATACCTCGTCACTTGGCCACAGTTTCTCAAAGTCTATTAAGACTGTCACTATGATGACATCTGTAAATTCTCAGTAGCTTCAGGTGTAATTTGTCTGGGCCTGGAAACTTGAATTCATTGAAGGCAGCCACAGACTCTCTTGTTATCTCTTCGTCTATCTTGGACTTTAATTCTCGTTCCAGTTCAAAGATCATGCTCCTTGGTAGAGAGATTAAGTAACTTCCCCACATAGTACACCTAGTAAATTGACAGAGCTGGGATTTAAATTGACCTCCTGCTATTTGATTCTGCAGCCTGAATCTTCACCACAGTGCTGTGCAGTTTTCAAGTACCAATTAGTATGGTCTATGACAGCTAGGAGTTTCAAAGTGGGAGAGCTCTTCGAGGGAGAGTATATAAGGCAGGCTTTGTAAAACAGGTAGGATTTTAACTGAATTTTAAACAATGAGTACAATTCCAATAGAAAGGGAGAAGTAATGTATATATGTGTCAGTAGGGATAATAGAGGAGATTGAGGATGAACCTCTGGGAAAAGGACGTGATAACAAAAAATGAAGAACCTTGGGTCTGCTTCACAGACTACTTGGCTCTTCTTTAGTAACACTGACATCACAAATGGTCAAGAGACAACCTGGATGTTCCTGTTTTCCCTTACAAACTTTTAATTAAAGTTCTGCTGCATGCTAGTTATACACCTTAAGGTGAGACACAGTTTCTCTCATATATGGTTTCCTGCTCTACAAAATGGGAATAAAAGCAGACCTATTTTGGAGCACCAGGGTGAGGATTAAATGAGTTATCTAACTCATATATTGTGCTTAGAAACGAGATTCAAAATTTATCTCACTGTCATTAGTAAAGTGATTTATTTATTCGTTCAATTGTTGAAGGAGGCCACTTGTTATTTCCCAGCTGCTTAGTCTCAAAATAATAACACAGACACTGTATTAATCAAATCATTCCTTGGTCCACTAGCTCTAGCTTCTTATTGGTTAATTCTTACATATTAATTTAACCCATTTCAATTGATCTGTGTATCACCACATGGTTGTGACTTACAGGCTAAAGTTCTGGCATCTGCCTCCAGCAGGGCTTCATGGCTTCTCTCTCACTTTGCCTCCTTTCTCCCCGCATTCTGTTTAGTTTTACCAGCCTAGCTCTGTTCCCCTATAGCTCTGCTATAGGACCAAAGCATTTTTTTATTCACCGATGGTATTCACAACATACAGAGGGAATGCCATATCACCTCCCCTTTTCTGTTTAAATACAAAGGGAGATTTTAACTTTAACATAGTAAAATTATACATAACAAAACAAGTATTAAGCAAGAATTACAGTTACAATATTTATATCTACTTTATTTTATCATAATTAAGGAAAACTATAACTATAAATTCTTCAACTCTGTCAAAGACTCCAGAAGGATATAATATTACCTAAGTAAATAGAGAGTGCATTGTAGGCAACTTCAAAAACTCTAGAATTAACAGAGACATCTTGCTACATAGATAGTCACCCAAAATTCATCTTTACTGTTGGTACATCCATCTTCAGCCTACAGGTCCATAGTATCTAGCAGACTTTTCCTTGAAGCAGGAAATTTCAAAGACAGTTCCGCCTATATTGGCAGTTTGTCAGTTACTTTCTTCTGTGCACCACAGAATGTCTTGCAGACTCTTTCATGAAGCAGGAACTCTGAAGGACGATTTCCCCTTTAGGCAAGTTCAGCAGTCATTTCTCTGTGAGTACTGCATGTCCAGTCAATCAGTACAGTCAATAGCAGTTTCTTGCCCAAATGACTAATCAACTTTATAAGGAGCCTCTTGATGCTTATCCTCCTCTTCAAGTAGCTTGGTGCTGCCAGAAGCAGATGTGTCTCATGTCATGGAAAGTCCTAAGTTCTTAAAACATTTAAATGTGATATTCTGAAAGATTTGAAGAATACTTATCTAACTGAATTATGTATCTAGAAAACCTGACTAACATGACTACACGCTTGACTATTATAGATGACTCTCTTTTAACCTATATTTTATAATTATACATTACATTTGTAAATGAGCTATACAAACACAATACCTTAATCCAGAACAGAAATATACATATAAATGAATTGATCTTAAATTTGTATCAATAAACAAAGATCCATTACCAATGCAATTCTCTATAGTACATCCCCTTTAAATGTAAACAACATTTGGGAATATGGGCATAGTTCTTCTCCAAACTGCTTACTGCTGTATATTGGGCAAAGTAATTTTTGAGGGCTGTTCAAAGTGACTTTTCAGAGGGTCTTGGTCCATCAAACCACATTAGTCTAGAATTAATCCACAAGTTCTCATATTCTGTGGAAACCAAAGAAGAACCTCTTTTACAAAGCAACATATCCTTAGACTCAAATTTTGAAATCAAGATATCTTTAAAATATATATGTTGATTACTTACTTCCTTCACAGTCAAAAAATTCAAAGACAACACAATAATATACATAATCCATATTCTTTGTGTATTTTCCATCTTTACATGGCTTATTATTATTTATTTCTTTAA